GGGACTATTTGGGCCTGTGCCGAAGACTTGGTGTTGACGACATTCCCATCTTCCCCTCCTCTTCGTCTAACCCCCTTCTTCTTCGTCTGTGTATGGTTGGGGCTGGCGCAGTCTTCCTGTGTGAAGCGCCAGACCCCTTTCACACCATGGAACRATGATGATGATGTATGTTCAGGGCTGCATTGCAATATTGATTGTTCGGATCATTGGTATCTAAGTCATCCGCTACGCTATCTTGTACTTTGTATTGAGAGGTCGGTTCTTGTTCTGGTCTGCACCGTTACAGTATGCAACACAACACAACATTATTAGACCAAATCCGCCCCCAATCCGTAGGTAAAGGACAAGCAGCCTCCCACACAGACGAAAAGACATCACCAACGGGCAAGAAACGAGGAGATCCTCCACCATGTAACCAGCATTACGACTTCTGATTCTATTTGAGGTTTTGCCACCTGCCAATACTGCGGCATGTGAAGGATGAAACTCTTTAATTGCGACAATCATAGTAGTGAGGTGTTGAAATTGTTGAAGCTAGGCCTCTGGTCGGACTTTTTTCGAAAAGAGAGGACGGCTGTGCACATCTTGTGGTCCAGTCCTTGCTGCAGGATCTGCAGCAAGATTGCTTGCTTTAATAACATTACCTCTAGATCTACCAACATTAAAATCAAATTTATTCTTGACTCGGACTAACGGTCTGATCCTTGGTTCCTGTCACTTCCTGAGACAAGTCTAGAATCTCACGTTAGGTTGCAGTCTTCTGAACGTATCGGAGACCCTCAGGGACTGTTACATGCTGAGCCTGCACACGGCCCTCATTTTGGGGGCCCGACGGTTGCTGGGGCCCCCCAGGCCGCACGCCTTCCGACATGCACCCTGGAGGCCCACGGCTGGCCTTAAGGCCGCAGGTTTCTATTTGAGGCAGCATTCATTTATTATTTCCTTATTTATTTACTTATTTAATTGCTGTCCTATGTTTGTCTGGTCAGGCGTCGTTTCGGACTTTAAGTTCAGTAAGTTCGAACAGACCTCGGGTCTGTTCGGACAAGGCCACGTTTTTTACCCGGTACAGACATAGGCAGGCCGTTTAGGTCCAGGTCCACTTTTGTCCGATAGCGGACACTCCTTGCTGCATCAGCAGGGAGGGCCTGGACGTCAGGTAGGGACTCAGGCAGGCCGTTTTAGGCCTAGGACCAGAGGCACATGGAGGGCACAGCCACGAGGCCCAGCGCTACTTATAGCTGGGCGACGCCAGGGCAGACACACAGTTCGAGTAGCTCACTTCTTGGGCGACACACTGCTTGGAGCAGCGCGACAGCGCTGTGCTAGCGGTAGAGATGTAGGTAGGGAATGAGGCGAAGACCATACCTGCTTCGGCGAGTACTCACCTGGGCGCCATAGCTGGTCTTCGCGCCAGCGCCCTGCAGCACAGAGAGGCACGTGGCGACAGTCAGTACATGGCGCCAGTTATCTGCAGGTGAGGTGGCGAGGAGGACGACATCTTCTCCTTCTTCTTCGTCTCTCCCTCCATCTCTTCTTCCTCCTTCCTCCTTCTCTTCTTCTTCTTCTTCTTCTTCTTCTTCTTCAACTTCTTCACACACAGAGAGAGAGAGAGAGAGAGAGAGAGAGAGAGAGAGAGAGAGAGAGAGAGAGAGAGAGAGAGAGAGAGAGAGAGAGAGAGAGG